CCTCTCTCATCTTTTTAAGTGGGAGAACTTGCACAATTGGTGGCTGACTAAATACTTTTTTGCCCCACTGTATCTATCAGAAAGCACAGAATTTTCCAAAACCACTAGAAACAATACGGTGGTAATTAGCCTGGACAGACCAAAAGGGAATATGGTGATGTTGTTATTTTAAGTCTCTTTGTAAATCTTCCAGGCGAAAAGTGGCTTAAGAATCTAAATAAGTATATTGGAGTACCACTGGCCATAAATGTATATGTAAACTTAATAATTCTGTTTATGCTTCTCGTTTCAGATCTATCTTTTAAAGTAATCATTAGTTCAGTAATCGTGGCCTTTGTGGTGCTCATGGTTCTTTTCCTGGTGATCCTCATTTTCTTGTGGCGAAAAGTAAGAAACTGCTTTCAGCCCTTCTGTGTCTCTGACTACTAAGATCGGTGTTCCCAGCTTTTGAACTAATTGTGCTGAATTTCAGAAAATGATTGGCTGAACAAAGATAGCACCATAAACTTCTGAAGCCATGAGAATGATAGTTTCAGGAATGATAGTTGACTTGCTGAACTTCAGCTGTAATGAACTGCAAGTTTACTATGCAGAGGCTCTGAGCATAACCTGAAATACCAATCAGGGATTACTTACAAAATTTCCCATAATGTAGGACAAGTGCAGGACTGTAGGAGATAGTATGAATGTTCTTTTTTCATATTTTGAAATTATATTCTCCATTTTCTCAATGACAGTATGTCAACTTTTTAAATGTATAGCTATTATCAAAATGAGAATGTTTTAAAAAAAAAGAACATTTCCCAAGTTTACGGAATAATCTTTATTTTTATAGCATGAAAGCTAACAAAGCTAGTAGAGCTGCTTTTAAATGGCTGTTTTGGGGACCCAGTGAATGGGTGGGAAAAGTCACAGGCTGCTATCCTTATTCAAGGTCCCTTGATTTCTGTATCCGTGACTGTGCAGAGATGTCTGCTGATATTCTAATGCACCACTTGAACTGGTTTAGCTCTCTTAAGGAAGGCAGCACCCTTCCTTGGAGAAAGGCCTTCGTATGAAGAGACAGACCACAGATTTGGGTGTGCCATGCCTTGTGCAAGCTGCACAAGGAGGGGTCTCCAGAGTTAGCCTCCTCTTACAGTGGGCTGCATCTTATGTAGCCCTGCCATCTTCCTAACCTTTTTGTTTCCTTCTACCAGAAGCCTCGATATGAAATTCGCTGGAAGGTGATTGAGTCAGTCAGCTCTGATGGACATGAATATATTTATGTGGACCCTATGCAACTGCCTTATGATTCCAGCTGGGAGGTCCCAAGGGACAGGCTTGTTCTAGGTGAGAAGAGGAGGAGCAGACTAAGAGTGAGGTTTAGTACATAGAAGCCAGATGCCACTGAATACCACTGCTGCCCATTGCGTGGCCAGATAGCATTCTTGCAATTGAAATTACTTTTTCTAATGAAATTCTATGGGAGCAGAAAGCATCAGTCCATGATGAAGCCATCTTACTCACTCTTCTCCATGCTGGTTGGAAGGATGAGAGTTGTAATCCAGTTCATCTGTACTAAGTTGGGGAAGGCTGCATTCAGAAGTCCAGGTCTGAGTCTTGTTTTTCATTAGATGGCTCTTAGACTATGAAGCCTCATCCTTTGATCTCCCGCATTCTTTTCAGAGACTTTGTAAGGGATGCTGAAAGATGAGTGACAGGCATAACTATATTCTGATTCTAATACAATATGCATTGTTTTAATATTGTGGGAAAACCCAGTATTTCCCATTTATGTATGTGTATGGTAAGGTGCTTCATAAACATGAATGAACTCTTACAAGTTCAGTTCAATGCATACAGATACATTGGGAATATTGTGTGGGGGAATCAGAATTAACTTCATTGCATCTTAAAATGTTCTTGAGAACCTGATATGCAAGAAGTCAGTTCTGTTTCTTGTAGCCATGTAAATAGTTCAGGACTTCTGTGGCAAGAACTAGTTACGATGATGCTTCCAAGCCTGAAGCTTCATCATAACTAAGCACCTTGGTGATTAGCATTGGTGATCATCCCAGTGTTTTCTGGGGTGGCTAAAACAATTTCAAGTATCGGAATACTTGATATTTTTTATCACTAAGTATTAAGCTGTAGCCAGAAATAAAAAACAAACAAACATGAAAATTAGTGCCCCATTACCTATGCAAGAATACTGTTATTCTTGTTACGCTAAGAATAATTGTTTAAATGACTCAGGATGACCTGAGCCTGTCTCACTCATGGGCTGGGAATAAGATGAGGGCTGGGTCAGGAGGACACGGCAGGAAAAAAGAGGCTGCCAGGGTATGCATCGGCCATGCTTATGGCTAGAGGGTAAAAGCTCCTTGCATTGGGGACTTAGAAAAACAATTAGCAGCTTATATAAACAGAATACATTGTGCTGCTCTAGATACAATGCAGTAGTTTAGTTGTATTTCATGAATATTGTCACAGTGGACTTGACAGGAATAAAGGAGGAATATTGGTATTGTTGTTTCTTTAAATTCCACGAAGCTGCCTACAGTCATCTGAAGTGAGGTAGCCTAGGAATTTAATAAATCAACAAATCATCTGAGAATGTGAAGCTTGGAATTTGTGGTCAGCTCTACCCCTAGTGGTCACATTTAGCATGCTGTGCTAATTGGGATCCCACACTTACTAGACCAATCCGGAAGAGCCCTGCCAAGACTTTAGTCATTCCCAGCAGCATAGCTCATGCTGCCACTTTCATATAAAGAACAATCCATACAACAATCCATACAACAGTTCTGTCAGTTCCTCCCAAAGTTATTTGTAGAGAATGTATTTTATTTTATTTTATTATTTTTATTTTAATCAGAATTCTAGATTGCTGCAGTTTTATGACTCTTAGCAGTGTTATAGGGAGCAAAAAATACATAGCTATTTGATGTTTTGCTTGCTGCAGGACGTACATTGGGTTCTGGAGCCTTTGGGCGGGTGGTGGAAGCAATCGCTCACAGCCTAAGCCATTCCCAGTCCACCATGAGAGTTGCTGTGAAAATGCTCAAGTGTGAGTTTGGTTTCTTTTTCCTCTCTGTGCATGGAGATGCAAATAATCATGCTATCTTCCAACAGTGCCTGCCTTCCTCCTTTATGTTGTTTCACAATGTATTGTCATATTCATTGCTTATCTACCTTCCTGCTCAATTATCTTTGGTATCAATCAAGCCACCCAGAGTCACCCTCTGGGGGAGATGAGCGGCATGCAAATTTAATCAATCAATCAATCAATCAGATGGCATGCATAGAGTATGTCCATAATATATAATGTTGCCCTGATTAATGGAGGACACTATTATATGGCTAAGTGTCCAAGGAGAAGCAAAATTGCCACAGTCTTCCTTCAAGTATAAACCCAGTGTGGACTGCACTTTAAACAAGTGTCTATATTTCATTACTGTATTTGACCACCCTATAGCCACAGCCCGAAGCAGCGAAAAACAGGCCCTGATGTCAGAACTGAAGATCATGAGCCACCTTGGGCCTCACCTGAACATTGTGAACTTGCTTGGTGCTTGCACCAAAGGAGGTATTATTTTCATATTCATCTCTTCAACCTGGATGTCTATCTCTGCCCTTGCCATTTTCTTCCACCTACTGCAGTTCCAATCTTTTGATCTGGCATGGAGTTTGGCAGATAGATAAAGATGTTCATGCCTTGGTATTCCGGTAGTTAAGGAGCTATTCCTCTATAGCTATTTTCTGAAAAGGATATAACCTGCCCTTTATCACTCTCCAAATTTCCATACTGTGCAAATGAGAACACTACCATTTACCTGTTTCCCATCTACATATTTCCATTTCTCCATTAGAATGTAAGTTCAGCTCCTGCTGATTTACATGGAGAGATCTACGTAGAATTTTGGGCATGATGTGCTAATAGTTTGTCATTACCTTTTCAGGATTTTTTTTTTTAACTTCCCAGTTTAACATACAGCCCTGAACTTCTCAGGTGGTCTCCCATCCAATTAATGATCACAGCTTTTAGTGTTTAGTGTTTAGCTTTTCAGGATCAGCCAAGGCCAGCTGTGTGTTGCCATTTGAATGAGGCTACCTTTGATGTATAATGAAAGCCCTATTAGTCTTATTGAATCCATTATACACACAACTTTATTTACTATTTTTAGACTTCAATACTATAGAGATTATTCTGATCACAGAACAAATTCAAATGTTAATGGAGGTTAGTTTTGAAAGTGCGCTTTTCTAGATACATTGCATAAAAATTGCCAGCTCTTTTTCAGTTGTGCTTTTATGATTATGTAAATAGCTGAGTCTGTAAATAGTATGGCTGTCATCTGATATAGCTACAGTGAAATATATTTATTTTTATCAATTCAATCTATTCCTGCCACCTACTGAAATGTTTAAAATCATATTAGTTTTTAAAAATTATAATGTGCATGTCCTACCTACTTGCTTGGTTGTGAACAGCATCCAGTGCTAGTAGAGGTATGCTGTGTAATTTGTGCAGGTATGTGCAACTCTTAAAGAAAAAAGAAATGCTGCTTAATCTGAATAATAAAAGCAATGAGAAGGTCAGCGCAAGCAAGAGGCACAAGGAGTTGGTTCTCACGCTCATCCAGCTGTGGGTTTTTGCTTTGTAGTTGAATAGTCAGCAGATGGCAGATGTGTGATATATAAATGCTCCAGGAGACAATAACACAAATCACTGTGTACAATCAATGTGTGTGTTTGATCACACACACGTGTCTCCTAATAGGGAAAAGGAGTTCTGTATCTTCTACTCCACTACTTAGAAAGGAATATCAACCACTAAGTACATGAATTGATCCAAATACCTCCTATAAGGGGAGGGTAATTTGGCCATCAGATATACCTCAAAATAACAATCCATTGGTTTATTCTGATACTTGGCAATAATAATAAATGATGCTCCAAATGAACTTTGACATAGCATTGTTGAACCAGGTTTGTAATAATGAAAAATTGAGGATATATCTGGGAAATCGGAGGTATGTTTACGAGCTTCTACAAAAATATGCAATGACATTTTAACTTTTAAAGAAGACTAACCTCTTTCTGTCCAAGATTGACATACAGAAAGAGAGTTGCAAGTCTACTTCCCACACTTGTGATACTATTTTGCCTGGACTATATTACTAGGCGGGTGAGACTTCCCCAAAATACATGCTTTTCCAAGTAAAATGTTCCATCACACAAAAAACGAGTATTCAGAGAAGAAATTCTATATTAGCTTTTGTTTTGAAATGGTAGTTTCAGTGTATAAAGGTGGTTCACTCAGTTATGTCAAATCCCCAAACGAATGCTTGAAAAGACTTGCTACTTCAGCAAGTCCATCATTAGCTTATGAGCAATAGGTATTCTCTGACTTACTGAAGATGACCTTCTTCTGTACAGGCCCCATCTACATCATAACAGAGTACTGCCGCTACGGAGACCTTGTGGACTATCTACACAGGAACAAGCACACCTTCCTGCAGTGCTACAGTGAGAAGGCCAAGCAAGAAGCAGATTTGTACGGGAATGGCCTGCGTGAGGACAGGCTGCAGAGGTGCCTGTACATTTGATTACCTGTCAATATAGTCATACCCAACCTATAACAGTAGTGAGGCCAAGTAAATGCAAAACACACTAATATAGAGACATACATAAAAACCCACTGAGAAAGGAACAGAGAGAATAGATTTATTCTTCTTTGAAGTGCCACAGCATTGAGAATTAAGGGTTTGTGTTGTTCCCAAGCCCTGACCCTTCTGATTATAGTCTTTCTGGTACACTAAAAAAGATTTTGGGGATTACTTCCTCTTTATAACCAGAATAAAATTAAAATGAATTCAACTCAGATTGGACTTTCCTTGTGTTGTTCATTTTATTTTATTATTTTTTTAAGAATTGCATTAGGTTTATCTCATATAATGGGGTGGTATTTGTCTCATTTAAGGTGAGCATTATCTCATCTGAAAATTACACAATCCACGTATAGAGAAATTGTCTTAGAAACGAATCAGCAGCATTCCAGTTACCTTTACTTGCAGCTTATAAAGAATAGAAACAAACTGCTGAGTCCACTCTGACTATGCCTAGGATAGTGCAAGGAATATTTAGCAAAATTGTCCATATGCAGTGCAGGAAAGCAAATATATGTTTTGCATGTATGTCTTTTTTCTTTCTTTCTTTCTTTCTTTCTTTCTTTCTTTCTTTCTTTCTTTCTTTCTTTCTTTCTTT